TGAGAGTACAACAGACAGCCCGACATCATCGAGATTTTGTTTAATTTCAAAGCAGGTCGCAAATAAGTAAGGGAAACCTGATGAAACTCACCATGACATTTTTTTCAGAATTCCAAAAATGAATCCATAACAGTGTGTTTCAATTAAAAGAACTCAAATTCATAATTCAATTCAAGAGCATTTCTAACGCATGGACACCATGAGAAACTCTGTATATAGGAGTAATACCAATATGGATACATTTGTAAACATTGTAATTGCTAAATGTTTACTTGTATAGCGAAACTTGTGTGTGTAATTCATTCAGAACAGGATTCATTAATGGTAATATCCGTTTCACTTCATTCTCTTCATTTTTTTTCAATTAATTAGTATGTAATTGCGTATACACACGTGTGAAAAAATTACTATTGGATGTAGTAAATTATATGTGTGTTAATAATTAACGCGAACATTTTTTACGAGCGATACCTGTATAGGTAACTATTTTATATTTAAGCTTTTGCAGGAAATAATAATTAATAATTTTTTTTTCATTTTGCTTTACACAACTCTATTAAGTTTTATTATTTTGAAATCGATCCTTGTATAAAAGGTATGATTAAAAAATAATTATATATCTTGTGTATACTATGAGAAACCGACACATAAAATAATAGGTATAATATAATATAAAAAATTATCAAAGTCCTCGAGTACGAAGGAAGGGTCTTCGGCGCATTTTTTCTTCACCATTAATAAGGTCTTGTCGAAGGCGACCACATTCCCTATGCCGGTACCCGCTTCCAACTTCCCGTTCACCCGCAATTCGCGTTTGAAGTTTTGACTCCACCATCAGTAAGATCTTGTCACGCAGGAATTGTGCGCGATTTTTCTGACGACACCACAAGTACCAAGTAGTTTAAACATTTTGTTCAAACGACATGCAACTGTTTACTTATGTGAAGACGATTTAACTACCTACTTAGAACTTGCATTAAGTTGGGGTTTTGTGGACTCCATTTGCTTGTAAAGTTTTAGACTAACACTTGAAGATTCTTAACATATTAACGTATTGCAGTCCGATTTATTTTTATTGTACATGGTGTTAGGAAAATATAATTCATTTTCTTTTAACACTCGACGATGATGCATTATACATTGAGTTCATATATAATGTTGAATGCGAAGTATGTTGTTTAACCTTTTACTCTTCCGGATTGTTCCGCCTCAAACCCCCAATTAATAAAATGTTATTCTATTGCAGCAAAGAGAAAATAAGAACCGTTTCATAATTTAGTAAAGACCATTGACTTATTATTTATCCTTTCACTCTTTCCTTTAGAGACTAGAAAAGGATCACTGACAGTTAGCCGGCGCATACATATATTTAAATAACAAAATACAGAAGCTTCTGTATTATATAATTTTGATAAAAAAAACTGTCATCTAAGACGTCACATTCAATGTGTAGTTCAGCGTGTAAATTATTGCAATCGGTTTAAGAAAACCTACACCACAACTTATTGGATAAAAGATATTGCTCCGATAAGGCGTGGTTACTTTCACTTCACGCGCTACATTAGTTTTTACACCTATCGAACTCGAGAGTGTCGAGAACCCTCATTTTTATCAGAGAGCTCAGTTACATTTTCTGAAGTTAGACCTTGGTTAGCAATATCGAAAACTGTGTGACAAGTGTTCCATCCACTTCACGATAACAAATTGCAAGGTTTCTTTCAACGTGATACTGAGTAGGTATCTCTCGAAACAATGACATACTAAAACAACAACAGAGTGACTACTTCGAACACTTAAGTCATTATTTTAATTAAACCACGTTTAATTTTGTCGAATTTGTTTGTGTGACATTTTGGATCCAAATGAACCGTGCATATCATTAATTTGATTAAACATTTGAGGCTAAGTTTAGTATAAGTACAGCACGAGGTACAGCATCATGAGTTCCTTTCGGAATAATCCCTAAATAGATCAGATTTTCTTCTTCGCTCAGACTAATTCTTTTTATGTTATAGCGATTTAAGCTATTTTTTCCAATCCACTACATAGAGAAGCAAATATCCATGCCCTATCTGGGCCATTTGATTCATACACCATGTACATAAAGCCACAGCTGTAAAGCCGTGAGCCGTGAGTAAAGATAATAAAGAGCTCATTGTTTTGGTTTCCATGTCCGATGTTGCTATATACAGGAAGATACATTTTCCCATGTATCCTTTTAAATGCATTAGAAATTTCAGATGGGGTTCAATCAGAACATTATTTAGTCCTATACAACGTGGTCGACGTAATGTAAATAGCAAATATGAAGCATTTTTTCACAAATAAAAGAAAACAATTGCACATCGGGTTATCAAGATATCAATGAACTAACATTTTTTTAATGGAACGGCGTGTATATATAGAAAGGTGAAATTCTGAGTAAAAAAATGTAGAACTATACACGGAACCTTAAAATAATAGTAAGAATAGCTCTGATCCACTTATTCTGAAATTTAATTTAGTCTGTAAGAGGTAGAAATAATAAAATGGAAAAATTTTATTCTTTGTATAGCTCAACTTTTTTTACCTACTTTGTTATAAGCAAAGAAGTTTATGTTGACTTTCCCGCATATTTCTACCTACGTCTTTTTTTGTTTAAGGTATCGGACACCTGCGCTTTGTACAATTTTTGTAATAAACTTAAAAACTTGAGTTCCTTTAATTTCAGTTTACTGCTCGTTAGGCGTTTTTTATCCAGAATTTCATTTTGAAATGATATACAGAGCGTTCCATTAAAACATTTCAATCATAAGAAAAAATGCTTCACATTTCCCTTCCAACTTTGTAGCTGCAATAATAAGTTATTAATATACCTATCCACTTCACTTCAAACCCATTGTATATCACCTACGTTTTGTAAATCATTACGCATTCTAATTCACTATCAACATTTTTCCATCCGTCGTGGACAATTTAGCATTTATGAATAATATTCACGGCGAAATGACAAACTCTAAATAAAATTCCAGTTGTAATTTTTCTGAATTCCCTAATGCTTTGATGTAGTCAATTTAAATTTTAAAAGGATACATTAGTGGACTTTTACGTCCGCACTCTGTTAAAAGAATATCTATGTATCTGCCTTAGTATCATGCGTTACTCTTTATACATTTTATTGCGTTGTCATGTTGCAAATAATTTTCTTGTTTGGTATATTAAATAGATATTTCAATTCCACAAAATACTGATAAGAGGGTCACTTGTGCCAGACAGTCACGTGACGCGCCAGACAGTGAGGTTATCGCGCACGTGCGCTTTAGGTATCTACGACGTCTTGTTGTCTGACCTTCGGCCAGTTCGAGTGAAGGCATCATGGAGAGAAGGTATTTTGCTAGTTGGCCAAGGGTGCGAATCATATTTTGGGGGTTGTTTCGGGTGCTTAGAGCAGACACTCAGATTTCCGATATTGGAACGCTGTCTCGTTATACCCGGTTTACATGTTTCATGTTAATCGCCTCCATAGTTCATGTATTTTGGCAAGTAGGCTAGGTATCTCTTACGGTGTCAGCGCGGAAATTTAATGGGGTTTTTGCCAGAGCGCGTCGAAATTTGAAGTTGATCCTATTATGGAAATCACCTGCAGAGGAATGCATTTATTTATAGAATATAAAAATTACCTAACATTGCATCATCTTCGAGTGACAGCTGTAATAAAATTGCATTTATCCTACTACGTCAGTCAGTATCCGCTTGAACGTTAGTGGAGGTGGTTCTTCTGTTTCTTTGTTAACGTCTCCGTACGAGTAGCGAAAAATTACAGATTAGAAGGTGTGCTTTGTCTTCCATCAATTGCCTAACCAATTTTCATTGAAATTTAAAGTCTTGTCGAAGTAGTATCGACTTTAATCCAATCACGTGATTATTCGGTTTCTATAAAAGCTCAACGTTTTCACAATTCCAGACAGTTTCATACCAAGCTCAAGTGAGTGACGGATGTTACTTTTACACCTCCCAGCTGCATAAGTGCATTTAGTCGACGATAAAGTGTAGTAACAAATTTATAATTGGGTTACTCTTACTACCCTGAACGGCTGTAATTAAAAATTCAATCAAATCAATTACTATTACGAAAAATTGAACAATCGAGTTAATTATTGCGTCAGTTTTTACAATCTGAAACGTCGCATTCCCTTTAGTACGCAAGTGCAGCTTAACTGCAAGGTGTTGCTGTGTTTTGTTTCAGCTATCCACGTTCTATTACAAATTATTCTTCGGATCACACGGCTTATACGCCCTACCTCTACTTAATTCTTAGTGTGTAAAGAATTACTAAAAAAATCAATTTCTCACAGTAGCTTATTGCACCTGGAAGTGTTTATGACTAATTAATCAAATCTCTTATCATTAAGCAAAATTGCACAACGTGTAAAATTATATTGCATCACTTTTTTACAACTCTGGGAAACTTCGCATTCCGTTTTAGATTTAGTACGCATCTACAGCTCAAGGAGCCTGGTTTTGTTAAAAACTGAGATTGTTTGTACCATTAAAAGTATTTGGTAGATCACGGGCATATGCATCCTGGTTAATCGTAGTGCGTGTGGAATTATTCAAAAATAAGAAACCTATATCTCGAATAAGCCATACACGTTTTACTTATAAATTACACGAAATTATTCGGCAGTGCCTACGAACACGTGATTTTTCAGTATAAAATCCAACTTGTCAACATTTTTATTCAGTAGTCGATTGAATCCCGCGTGTGACTGACTGACTTGACGATATAATCGGCATTTTTTACAATACTGATTGATAAACTTACTCATCAAGGAATAATATATCTTTCCCAGAACGAAATACATCTTCACCCATCAAGCGATACCTTAGTTGTTTCTATTCTTCCGTGTTAAAATTATTTTGGCGTAAGGTACCTAGTATCGGTGAAAAACAAGATCACTTAGGTACACACTCTACAAGAAATACTCCTCTGCTACATTACTTCCAAAAATAATCTAATTATGCGCAAGTTTGTAATTGAGAGTGAGTTTGAAAAGAACGTCAAACGATTTGGTTTAAAAGGACGATCTATTCAGTTTAGGTTAAAACAAATACCACCTAACGAAAATAGCATATTATGGATTAAGAACGCGATCAGGCAAATAATCACGTATGCATGTAATAAGGTTTCGGCTGAAGACATGGTAGGATTTACTTTTTGTTCTAAAAAATTTTCGCGAGGAGGGGGTTATTTGAAGTTCCAACGCGCTGATTCAGTATATTTTGAAGACATATGGGAGCTAATTTCGTCTATATATCAATCAAATTCGGACGGATTGAGCACAGAAACTTTTTGTTTGGAGGCGACCATTGTCCGTACCCCATTAGGCAGGGGGAGATCAGCTTGTAGCAAATACATAGGTTTCGAGGAGGAGTGTAAAGCAAGGCGAGGTATTGTTTACATAAAAAATGTAGATAATTTATGTTTACCTCGAGCTCTTGTTGTTGCTATAGCCAATACAACTGATGATCCTGATTATCAAAATATACGAAAGGATATAGCACAAATTCAATATAAGAAAGCAAAACAATTAATGCAAGAAGCCGACATTGAGATTGGAAGAAACGGGGCGGGTTTACCCGAATTAGAAAAGTTTCAGTCGCATCTAAATAATTTTAAAATTGTTGTTTACAACTATGGGTCCAAAGGGCGCGATCTTATTTTCGAGGGTGATTCTGAGGCAACGCTAAAAATTAATTTGTTGTACTATAATAATCATTACAATGTAATAACCTCACTAACGGCTGCTTTTGCGTGCGTGTATTTTTGCGACAAGTGTCACGTGGGCTATAACAATAAATTCGATCACAAGTGTGTTGGTGTTTGTTCATCGTGCAAACATTCTCCTCCATGCGATCGTGGTCAGGCAATAAATTGCCCAGACTGTTGCAGATATTTTGTCTCTAAAACATGTTTTGATAAACACAAAGAATTAGGGCATAAAGAGCATAAAACAATTTGCGAAAAAATATTTAAGTGTAAAACCTGTTACAAAACAGTTCGAAAAGGGACGGACCACAAATGTAACTCATATTACTGTAAAACATGCAAGAAAAGTCGGCCAGATGATCATCTTTGTTATATGCCTGTAGATAATTCATCACCTAATTTAAAAGATTTTTTATTCATTTTCTATGACCTTGAATGTACGCAAGACAAAAAATTTAGCGAGTTGAAAACTTTACACGAGCCAAATTTGTGCGTTTTTAACCAAAGGTGCGAGATGTGTCTAAATGATCCATTGGAAAATATTATCTGCAATAATTGTGATGTTCGACGGCAGATCCTAAAATTTTCCGATGTTATTGAAAGATTTGTTCATTACATTCTAGAGATAAAAAAAAGATTCAAACGCGTAATCGTTTTGGCTCATAATGGGCAAGCGTATGATCATCAATTTATTTTAAATTACATTTTAACCAAAACTAAATTTAAACCTGAGATGATTATGCGGGGATCTAAAATTATTTCTATGTATATCGATAATGTCACATTTTTGGACTCCTTGAACTATTTTCCAATGGCTCTAGCGAAACTACCCAAAGCGTTTGGATTGAAAGATAATTTTCGAAAAGGCTATTTCCCATACCATTTTAATACGCTTGAAAATCAAAATTATATAGGACCTTATCCCGATATGGGGTACTATGGCCCAAATACAATGATGGCAGACGACCGAGAAAAGTTCATTCTTTGGTATAATGAAAACAAAGACAAAGTGTTTGACATGCAAAAAGAAATTGTGACATACTGCGTATTAGACGTAGATATTTTAACACTGGCCTGTTTAAAGTTTAGAGAATCATTAATTAAAGCGGGGAACGTGTGCCCATTTTCAGAAGCTTGCACTATTGCCAGTTCTTGTAATAAACTGTTTCGTCGAAACTTTTTGAAACCGGATACTATCGGTTTGATTCCTCGACACGGGTATCGTTATCGAGATAAGCAATCAAAAATAGCAATTGAGTGGTTAATATGGGAGGAAAAAGTAAGGGGCATTAACATATTGCACGCAGCTAAAGGGAAAGAAATGGTACTAGGTGGTTTGTCCGTCGATGGGTATTGCGCAGAAACCAATCAAGTCTTCGAAATGATGGGGTGTTTCTACCACGGATGCACAAAATGTTTTAAAAATGATCGTGATAAACCAGTATATAATAACGGCGACGAAACCATGAATCTAAGATATGAAAATACCCGTTCGAAGATCGTTCATTTAAATCAATTAGGTTACGAGGTGATAGTAAAGTGGGAATGCGAATTTAATCAAGAGAAAAACTCGGATATGGCACAGTACATATCTGACCACCCACTGATCAATTTTGCGCCTTTAAATACGAGAGATAGTTTTTATGGGGGCCGAACCGGAAACATCAAGTCTTATTACAAAGCGAAAGAAGGGGAAAAAATAAAATACATTGATATCTGTTCATTGTACCCTTGGGTTTGTAAGTATGGAAAATTTCCGATAGGGCACCCTAAAGTTTTACTCTCGAATGACTTGATCGATCTAGATGTTACCAAAGTAGACGGCATCATTAAATGTAAGGTATTACCTTCGCAAAATTTATTTCACCCGGTACTTCCGATAAAACTAAATAAAAAATTAATGTTCCCTCTGTGTTTCTCATGCGCAAAGAGCTTCAATCAGGGGGAATGTTGTCACAATACGGAGGAGAGGGCCATTGTGGGAACGTGGGTTGTTGACGAACTTGTTAAAGCTTTAGAAAAGGGGTATCAAGTTCTACAAATCTACGAAGTTTGGGATTATAAAACCGAACAATATGATGGGAAATCAGCGGGATTATTTACAGAAATGATGAATAAATTTATCAAAATTAAACAGGAAGCGAGTGGATGGCCATCAAACTGTAAAACTTTCGAACAGAAAATTGCT